CCACAGTTATATGGAAAATTCCTTCTATTAATAGGTTGCTAGTCGATAAAAATGAAGCGGGGCATCCAAGAAGGATGGAATTCATCTATTAAAAAGGCTGGAACAATAAAAGAGGTCGGAGTTGCCGAAGCTTTTAATTTAGAAGGGATGGAATCGGATCTCCTCCCTCCCTCTTTTCTATCGCCGTCGACCAACTTTATCTGCTTAACTTTTCACTTAAGATAGGATTTTAAAGGACGTCCAGTTTTTTCAAGCAGCAAATTCTCGTTTCGACTGTTATATATGATACGAGGTCGAGATCGATTTTCCACCCTTTTTGCGCGTGGTAAACAGTTATACTGATGGATGAAGGGTGGTGATCCGGAACGTCCACGCTTTTCGGTCCAACAAACTTTCGATCGTCACTCTTCTATAGGTGCCAATAATTACATTTTACAGTATTTCGCACGAAAAACCGGGACGTTCTTTGTTAGGTCATAGGTCATCGATATATTCTTTTGTCGCTTATAAAGATCCAATCGTAGGGAAGTGACAAAAAAAATATCGCGCCGAACCACGATTGATTTTCATTCTTTACCGGAAGGGTGTTACTTTAAACACTACGTTACTTCATAAGGAAGAAGTACCTTAGATACTAAAATTTACCAGAGGGCAAAGGTTAAATTCACTGACGTAAATCTTACTCGCTTAAATATACTCGAACATATCAAGATATAAATTATTTTTATAGGGGTTAACCTTAAATCGAAAAAGTAGTTTCCGAAATAGAATGTGTGTTACGTGATAGAATTCAAGTCTTCTTCTAAGAACTGTCTCGAAATTGCCTAGAGTAGAGTACATTCTATTTATTATTCGAGTGACAAAACCTTGGAATTATATCTCTCTCCAATGAATTGTTAACGTTTCTCACGTTTTGAAATGTTATTGCGTTTATATTGCATAAATATATATTATGTTAAAACGGTATGTCAAATTTGACGAGTTGTATAGAAGAAAATTTAATTTCTATATTGATTGAAAGGTAAAGTAACTTGTTAAGTAACACCCTAGAAAAATAATAAACGTTGTAAAGCATTTATTTTATCCTAAATTAATTAATTTATTGTTATATTAAGATGTTCATCCAGCCAAATGTATGGAGGAGAGTGTCAAAAAAACGTTTGACAGGATGATAAATTTCTATATGTAGCTACTTTATACGTGAATAAAATTTCGAATTTTCATATTCTGATTATTATTTAAACGTACAATACAAGTAATGTTACGTTTAATATTATAAAAGTCATTTCGTAACTTGTATACCAGCGAATTTCATATTTAAACCATACGTCTTCGAGTGGTGTCTTCTAACAGGTGAAATTAATAGAGATCCATTGTTAAGAAAGAATTTATCGGCTTCAATTTTAATATATAAAACTTAGTAGAAAAGCTATGGAGTGTAACAATCAAATAGGAATAATATATTGAGGAAGAGAAAGTAACCCACAAAAATCTTTTATTAAAAAAGTCATCGATCGCGTACGTAAGAAACAAGAACGTTTGTAACAAACCTCTGCGCTTTATCAACTCGAGAGGTCGATAAAACATTCTACTTCTCCTTTACATAAGATTCTTAGAGAATTGCATATTGCTTTGCCACTTTACACAAGGAGAAAATAGCTCCAACCTCGAAATATTCGTCTATCAAGTTCAACACGTTGATATATACAGTTTGAATGTAGCAGTCGTTAAAGTAGAAGAAATACGCATTTTCAACTATATTAACACGTGTATACTGTATTATAAAATGCGAAATTATTAAGAAATTCAGGAGAACATTTCAAAAAATAGCATCAATGTATACATCTCATAAATTTGGCATTCACATAAAGGGATAAAGAAATGTCTTCTTCTGGCAATTGGAACTGTGGCGTGTATCTGAAAGAATGAAAATATATCAGATGCATCCCTGATTGATAGTTTTAGTATTGTAAATTGTTTCCCTTTCTATTATTTAAAGGCTGAAATTTATGAAATAAATTTCTACTTTACGCCTTTTTCTTTACGTATTTTCACCATCTTTAAGCATTTATAAAGTGATTAATGAGTTTAGAAAAATGAATAATATCACGAATATTTTAATTTTATATTGAAATAAATACAGGAGCAACAAATTCTCTAACTTAGTTTGTTAAAACGTCAAATATTGATTCAATTGGGAGTTAGTGAGACGTCATAGAAGTTATTTTTTCTCTGCTATTGTTTCACTAGTCTTCTGTATCTTCGACTTATTTATATCTAAATTAAATATAGGAGAGTTATCTAGACATACAGACATACCAAAAATTACGTATAAATATCGAGAACAAACAAACTTTTATATACAGAGAACGAATACTCATCCGGAAGAGTAATTATGGTAAATGTAGATTTTCTATTATCTATTTCACTACAGTTATGAGTTATAAATATATATATATAGGCTATTAATATACGTAGAGTAATTAGGAGAGAAATGAATAAAGAGAATACAATACTAATTGCATTTCTTCCGGTGATTTTATTCGAGGAACTTGCAGGAGAACATCTGCACACGGTTAGAAAAGACAACAATTTTAAAGGTTTGAACCTCGTAAGTAAAGCATATTTAACTTTAAGATTAAATTTCTCTAATTAAGTTTAGACCAAGTGGTGATTTTATTCTTTAAATCTTGTACTGACTTAACGATGTAAACAATTGGAGAAAGTTGACCGAACAAACCCATCGATATATTTGTGAAAACATTTCCTTCTTTCGTACAAATTTATTTATAATAAACGATAAAGGAGACAGATAAACACGATTAAATACATTTAAATAAATAAAATTACGTTTTCCGTATTCAATCCCGCATAAATATCTTATAAATCTTTAATTATTTATAGTGTTGTACAGGTAGAAAATTTATTCGAAGATCTGTATTAATACTAAACACCCGAAGATTCGAGGAGCATCAACCTTATGATTACACGTAGTTCTAAAGAAGTGGTTACTAATTAATAGCGTTATAAAGGGATCTGTTATAACACCAACCCTTTATAAAGAGATGTCACAAGTTAGTTGTAAAGTATTTTATCAAAATTCTTTATCGAAATCGAGCTCAATCAGTAAATATAATTTTTATTCTTGTGGGACACGAAAGACGACTTTAGGACGAGACTTTCGTGTTTCTTATCTGGGGCATTATATAAATTCCACAGACCTCCCTGACACTTTTCCGTAAACAGTTCATAAGCGTGATTATTAAATTAACTTTGACGAAAACCGTGTTGCCTCCCGAATCCGATAGGAGTTATGTGTATTCATTTTTTAGTTTTTTTTTAATTTAAATAGAGGAGAAAAGAGAGAACACTACTCCAATTGTGATCGGACAAAGAAAATATAATGCCATCTAGTATCGAAAATGCGAACAATTAAATGGATGTCGACACCGATCGATCTCCTAATTTGATAAATAAAGAAAGGAGAAACGTAGACTGTTGCGAGAAGAAGGAGAGTTGGGATGGCAGATTTCTTGTAGAATTGCTCTCCGGAGGATTGGAGGAAACAGAGGAAAAGAAAAAAAATTGATGCATGGTGGGAGGAATGAGGCGAATTCTCGTACGTAACAGGAAATAAGACCGAGTTACTCGAAATTGTAGAAGTAGAAAAGTGAGATAACGTATTTAAGAAATTGTTTAATTTTACGTTATATTTCTTGCATAATTATTATTATGGATACAGAAGAAAGAAGAGACATTTCTGTGAAACGTATTGCACATAGTTACACGAGAACTTCTGTTTTACGTTCAACATTAAATTTAATTAATTTATAAGTTTGTTAGCTTATTTCTTGAACTTTTCCTCTTTTTTTACACTTATATTATTTTGTATAATTATTTGAAAACGGTAAATACAACAAGAAAAATAACCGCTTTTGCTGTATAGTCGACCCCCCTATAACACTGTTGATTATTCCGTTTTATATGAATTCCACGTTGTACGAGTCACTTAGATTTTACAAATACGTGAGCCGTTCACAGCCTGGCATACGTATTTGTAAAATCTAAGTGTCTCGTACAACATGGAATTCATATAAAACGGAATAATCAACAGTGTTATAGAGGGTCGACTGTACTTGCCATTTAAATCTTGATACAAATGTAAAAAGAACGACTATGCCAAATACATTTGGTAAAAGAAAATTAACAATAGAAAGTAATTAGGCTATATATATAGGCAATACTGGATTAACTCAGTTACGATATACCAAAATCCTTGCTCCTTCCTGGGTGCTCCCAAAAATTAGGAAGTTAATTAAGTTTAAATTTCTTTTAATTAAATAATCAAATGAGTGTGTTTCTTGCAAAAGGATAAACAAGAAATAAATCACTTATGTATGACGTAATGAAAGCAATAATCTCCCTTTCTGTAAAGTAACTTGACTAAACTAAAGTCACAAGCGCCATCTGTCGAACTGAAAGAGAATCATTATGTGGAGCCATATTTTTTGTTATACAAGTCGACCCCCTATAACACTGTTGTAATAATGTTCCGTTTTATATAAATTCCATGTCGTACGAGTCACTTAGATTTTACAAATACGTGTGCCGGGCTGTGAATGGCTTACGTATTTGTAAAATCTAAGTGGAATTCAAATAAAACGGAATAATCAACAGTGTTATAGGGGGGTCGACTGTACTTCACATAAAAAAAAATTTCTTTTAGTTTTTATAATTGGAAAACAAGAAGATCGCTGGTATTTTCATTTTTGTTGCTGTAATAATGTTTAAGGAGTGTCTACCAATAGTTGTTCACGGGTTCTCACCCACCAACGTGGAGTTTTTGGGTTCTCTTCACGTATCTAACACCTAAATATGGATCAATTTAACATAGAAACTCCTCCCGAAAGGTTATTCCTCTTGGAAGATCGCTAAAGTATTGCGTTGACTTTTACCAATCAAGCAATGTTTAAAGTTTAATACGAAATCACATTCCTTGATTTTATTCTTTTAATTGACTATTGTTTATATTTTAATACATTAGCACGAAGTAGATTTGATTTAATTAAAAACTTGTGGCAAAGAAGTCTTCTTAGAAACTGGAATTTTGGATTTTTCGGAATCTTCTGACAAACGTCTCATTTTCTGCACTTCTTCTTCCCATTTCTTGTTGTACGTGTTGCGATACCATTGATTCTTTTTGATATCAGGGATGTATATGCGTTTGCTTTCGGGTTGTAAGATGTTCTTAATTAAATCCTTACAAGAACTTGAAATTTTTGGATCTTCAGGAAATCTGAGTTCTGCCGTTACCATGATCATATACTTCTTCTTATCGGACGGATCGAAGGGGAAACGAGCGTATAACATGACATACAGAATGATGGCCATACTCCAAATATCTGATAAATATGGCTGATAATGTTTTCCTGCCAAAATCTCCAAAGAAGCGTAAGCGTGATCCCCACAAAACGTGAAACATTGAATGTTTGAAAAATCAGATTGATCCCACGGCCAAATGAGAAGATCTCCTTTGGCAAGTCCAAAATCTGTGATCTTCAATACAAAATTTTTGTTCAGTAAAAGATTCTCGCATTTCAAATCTCTATGGGCAATACCCTAAATAAACGACAAGCACGTCTTTATGTAATAAACTTTAGGAAGTAACTCGCGTACATATTCACTTACATTTTTATGACAGTATTCGACTCCGTCTACTAATTGATGAAACCATCTGCATGCTCTTTCTTCATCCACACCTTTTTCCTTCTGAATCAATTGTAATAAGTCACCTTGTTCGGCGAAATCCATAAGTATGTAAATACTATAAATAGATAATAGTGTGAAGAAGTTCTATTAAACTATGTCTTTGATATCGCTACAAAAGACACAGTTTAATAGAACTTACTGTTTAGAAGTCTCGATAGATTTGTGAAATTTGATGATGTTCTGATGTCGAACTGTTTTAATAATTTTAAGTTCGCTTTTTAGGAATTTCCTTGGTATACTTCCATCCTTAAACATTATTTTAACCGCCATGTAACAATTGGCATTACTACAGTATACTTTTTTTACGGTAGAAAATGAGCCATTTCCAAGATGTCCTACAATCTGTAAACCTTTCTTTGTCAAGAATTTGTTTTGAATTTTGATAGAAGGTCTCTTAGGATAGAAACTTTCTACTTTGTCCACGTTCATTGTCAATAATAAATAGAAGCTTTATTGTTATATATACTATTGTTTAAATAATTACATAAATTATTTATGAAAGAATGAATATAAAATAATGTTATTTGTTTACAGAATGGAAGAAATTATATTCCATTTCTTGAAAATTAAAGCGTTATTTTAATAAAGATTTAAATTAAAAGTGAATGCAAACGATTGGTTGAAATACAGTAGGCGGAGTATTTCATGTTTTTTTCAACCAATCGGTCTGAGAATAACCACACCTCCTGTCAATCTCGCTAAACTGTTTTAAAATTTTTATACTATATTTGATAGAGGACTGCCTATATTCAGAGAAACGTCTTTAATACATTTTTTCTTTGTTTTTCGTCTGTTTAAGTTTTAAATATTAATATGTACGTTATTTCTGAATGCATTAAAAAATAAATAAACTCTACTTTATTAGTATTATTACCAAATAGAAGAAATAATTGATAAGTCGATTTCTTTTCGTAAAAATAAGTAAAAACAGTAAAACAATATTAGGTGAATTCTCTGTAATTACTCTTTCCACTCAACATCACACATTTAAGATACCATAAAGTGTTTATTATCAAAAAGTTAACGAAAGTAAAGCTGTTAAATGAGAAAAATTGTAGATAATTTAAAGCTTAATGTTGTTTTCTTGTTAGAAATTATCCATAATTTAATATATAAGTGTTGAAACATGTTCAAATCTTAAAAATACACTCACTTATACTAATAATATATTCTGTAAATCATTTTACTGTATAATTTATTGTAACTTGAAGAGAAAAAGTAAGCAGAAAACCTACGATCTGATAATATTTCAAGGCTGTTTATCTTCTGTATTTCACGCAATGTCTCCTTTTCCTTTTTGTTTCTTAATTTCCAACATAATATTTTGTTAGTAAAGAATATTCATTCTTAGTTATATATTATATTTAATCTTTAATAAACTTTCTTTACTTAAGACATCGAGAAAAGGTTTGATATTAATTAAAAATCTTCACATAGAATCATTCAAAAGTTTAGGGTGGCTCAAAAGTCAGTTAACCACACAAATCGCATATAATTTTGTTTGCCAAAGCATTGTAATTTGTATATTAAACAATAAGGGTAAGGTATTTGTATTATAACCAAAAGGTACATTAAACACAAGGGGTAAGGTATTTGTATTATAAACATTAAAGTAAATTTTTTTCTTAATATTTTGTATCCGTTAACTCTTCCCACTTCTAAAGAATACCGAGAAGATGAGGTATAAATTTTTATTATATTTATTTCTCTGCAGGGAACCATTATCCAGTGCCGAAATCACCCGCATCTTTCTCCTATTTAAAAGATATTCTTCTTAATTGTTCAAATCCACTATAGAAGAACATTCGTTTCATTTTTTTATAAAATTCCCAATAAAATAAGTATAAAAATTGATTAAAATCAAATCAATTGAAAGTATTATAAGTTTCTATCGAAGAAAATTAACTCAATTATTATTTAAGACAATAAAATGTATGAAAAATAATGAAAGGTCTTCGAGAATTGATGCACTCTTCTAAAGTCCAAAGGGACTTTATACAACGTTCTCAAATTAATTAAATTTAAAACCTTAACAAATTATTAAATGATGCGGTTTAGAATTAAATATATAAATATTTGAAGGTCATAAGGATGTTTTTTTTTTAAAAAAACCTATAAATTAATTTAAATATATTACTAATTCTACAAGCACTCGATGTTGTCCAGGGATTAAATTAAATAAATATTTCTGTGAAGTAAATTAGAATTTTACAGTCTTTCTCATTTACATTAAAAATTATTAACTAAAAATAAATGCGTGAGGATATTTTCTTACATTATAAACACATATTACATTAGACATTCGCACTTAAAACTACTCAAGATAATTGTTGAGGAAGATTCTTTTCAAGTTTAACGTGATAATCTTCATTCATCTTTCGTTATAAATTTTCATAAAAATTCCGTAAAACTATCATTTATAATTTAATTTAATATTTATTTTTTCTTATTTAATTTTAAATTTGATATTAATCTACACGTTAAGAATCTAAACAATCTTCTTTGCATTCTTCTTCATTTTTCTTACCTTTTCTCTTATTTAATATGGAGAGATTTTCTTAATTGTTTAGTGATTTTACAGCAATTAATTTAAGAATTTTCTTTTTTCTCTATATTTAAATAGCTTTATTAAAGGTAAAAATCCGTGTATTAAACATCTCCTCCCTCCGAATCCTCCGTGGTAAGGTGTAACACAGTACTTAAAATATATACTATAGTATACATTTTAATACTATTTATTTATTCAGTATTTTAAGGTATAAATGTCCATGATAGTAATCCACCCTTATTGATTCTCTAACGATAATAATTAGAGATTCTTGAAAAGTTTCTATGGTTTAAATGTCAGAGAATTTCAATAGTTAAAATAGTAAAGTATCTCGATTTCTAAGTTAATCTCTTACGGAGTTAAGGGATGAAAATGACGATTAGGAAACATTTATATGACAGAATAAAGACAAAATATTGCCTTAAGCGGGGATGGTTAGTCAATCCAAGTTAAATTACATGTATAAACGAGTGTAATTAACAGTTTAATGATGTCGTTGGACTGAGGAGACAATATCCTAACTAACCTGCCTTAATCGAATTAACGAAACACAGAATTTGGATACATTCTCATTTATGTGTATGTTTTTCATCGATAAAAAGAAGGAGAAATTTGATAAAGTTAAATAAAAGTCTATCATCTTCTAATGATCACTTCTCCTCATTTATCATAGTTGAAATATCAATGGGGATATCTTGGACGTGAATTTCGCCCATCTTCTGTGGAATCTAAATATTAAGATACGTATACGTAAATGCCTATTTGCTTTGACAATTTGGGTATTTTTAAGCGATAACTTTAGTTTTTAGGTATGATAGATTCTGTGTATCCTGAGCATCTTATCCGGATCTTCCAAGATGGACGAACCGTTATGAGTCCTGTTTAAATTTTTAATATCATAATTTATCGTGTATATACAGAATGTAGATGAAAACTGTAAGCTTTAAAAGAAAATTTGATAATTACACTTAAAATCTGTTGCAAATATTACGGAAATTTGCTACTAGATGGCGAGACGGGACGAAGGAAATCGCCCTGTTGCTTGAGTGTAATACACTCGATAGAGTAATACTTTCCCATCATCTTTCCTCGTCCATGTTGGAATTAGACGAGTCATTTATTAAATTAGAAAAGATAGTTTAATTATCAAGAATGTAGTTTGAATTTCCTTTATTTTTAAAGTTATTTCTCGTGTTGAGATTTGTTTATAAGTCTTCTTCCACGACTTTGTAACAAAGTTTTGTTTCTTACTTTCTTATAATGCTTTAAATGTCTACGAAATTCACACAAAACATAGTAAAGTTACAAATACTTTCAGAAGACTTACAACGAGCACAGAAATTATATATTGGGTTTGAAATTTTTGGTGTAGAAGTTGGAATAATCGACGCCAGATGGAGGGAGTCGACCGTCACACCTCTACGGAGTAGGAAGTCCTATTCTAAAAACAATAACCATAAAACAAATCGACAAAACCCTAAAGGATTACGTCCGGATCCTTTTATGAAAGTGCTCCAACCTAAGCTGTTGCAGTTTTTGTTTCTTCTTTTGTTTACTCTTCTGCTTATGGAGGCTAATAGATAAAAGGATTTTATCGGATCGGAAACATCCCATTAGAATCTTTTTATATTAAAAACCGCTCTGCATCATCCCTGCTTTTTCTCTTCCCAAATTAACCGTAGTCAAATCCTCTTTTCTCTCACCAGAAAAAAATTTTCCATATCGAGTGCCACTTGCCAAATGAGCTTCCGGTTTATTTATATGCCTTCCGGGTTATATTCTATCTTCCATCTTCCGTTACGAGTGCAAAATACTTAGGTTTGTGTCCCTTTTTGTGCGAGGAATAAATTAAATAATTTCGATTTTATGTGTAAGATCTCTCTCTACAAGGTAGAAGGGACCTTTAATAGACCTGCGGGAAGAGGGATGACTTTTTAGTATAACTGTTAGAAAGGAGATGCTAAGGAAGGATAATAAGAAGAACGATGAGGATTTCGTACTTATTAACAAGATAAATAGAAAAATATCGAAGTGTAAAGGTGATGTACAGCATATATTCACTTGCCTGATGGAGGATTTCGGAGACGATTCTACCTGAACCGATACAGGGGTCGAATTTTCGAAGGGGGGAGACATCGTCCAGTCCGAAAAGTCTCGAGTTCGGACGCTTTGAGGAGACATCTGGCGCTCTCTTTGTCGAAGAAAAACAATTTTTTAAAGTCTCGCAGCTGGTCCGGAACATTAGGAGAGAGGAAAAAACATTATTGATCGTCGACAACTTTCTGCCAACTTAATAAGAAAAAGACGACTGACAAAAGGAAGCTGCTTGATTATTTAATGTTAACTGCAAATAAATTAATACGGAAACCAGTTCTTGAAGTTACTTCCCAATACACTCGGAACTTAACACTTCCTCCGGAAGTTATTTCCGTTTGAGTGGCGAGTGATGAAGTAGAAAAATCGTGTCACCGTGAGTATTGTGTATTGCGGTTTGTGAGTTCTAATGTATTTTCAGTAAGGCTTTCTTGTTACTTTCTAACAAGTATTTTGTTGGAGGAAAATAGGAGAAATCTTTAACTTGGAAGAATTGACACCAAACTGAATAAAATACGTGTAACATAAGACTTCAGTTTACGTGAGGAGAGGGGTTCGAAATAGTCACCGGAAGTACGTACTAGATGGTGTATTCGCTAGAGAAAAGTTTAAGCGCGATAAATATGGAGAATTCCGGGAATCTGCAGTAAAAAGAGACATTTACGAGTTTATCCCGAGTACGTTTCTCTAGTCCCCCCGGCGGGAACCAGTTATTCTTAGACGTAGAATTAAAATGGAAACGGAAAGGGAACGAAAATATTTCATTAATTCCGGACCGGGAGCGTTCCGAAATTAGGTTATAAAAGTAATCGCGA